AGGGATGTCATAATTGGGGTTTTGGCACAAGTCTAAACTCCGATTCTCTCGTAAAGATCATGCTTGATCACCAAAGCAAACAAATTTCCAAAGTCCGTTTATCCAATCAAACTTTTCTCCGACAACTAACCTTATATGAGATATTTAAATAATATCAAATATTTGGCAATTTAATATCAATAATATTCATAGCTCAGCCGAATTTCACACTGTATCTCGTCATTCCAATAAGATTGTAATCAACATATATCACCTAGTTGATGCCAATAGCTATATCTAAACCAACAAAATCATTTCGTGAAACTTCTACAAACTTATGCCACAACAAGACAATTAATCAAGACTAAGTAGCCCACCTTAGAATGTAGCTCCACTGCCACATCATCATCTCTATCCGGTGAAATTAAATAGTACAAGGCATCAAACACCGCTTTCTCATATGAACTAGCATGTTCCTGTCCAAATTACACTAAAATTTACCAAATCAAGAATGAAAAATATGAACCAAACAATAAATCTTACGAAATAAGGGAACGAAATACAAAGCCCACAGAGAATTTCTTATCAAAAACAAGAGAAATCATACAAGACCAGACTTGGCAGCATCGATTAGTGGAAGAGCACGAGAAGGGTCTGAGGAACAGAGAAAATGGGCAGCTAAAATGTTTCCCAGAACGCATTTTGGATCATTTATCGTAGCTTCCAATATTACTGACCTCTTTCTTCCATAGCTAAGAACCTAAGAACAAAAAAATCACGAATTCATTCATTTCCATCATTACAAAATAACTGAAATCGTTTTGTTTCACCAAAAAATAAAAAATAAAAAACTGCATGGATTCAGAAATAGACCTGAAGATAGTAAGAATTGATAGCAGATAAACAAGCATCAGAACAAGTATTCACTTCATAACCCCATCTGTCAAATTTCATCTCTTTTTCCATCTTAAATTGTATGTGTGTATGTATGATCTGTTTTACTTTCTGTGTTCTTTGCTTTATGGGTACACAAGAAACAGAGACAAAACAGAATCGAACGATAGGATCTTTTGCCGAAATAATTGAAATCAGACGATAGCTACACCTATTTTGGGATTTCGATCTGTTGATAAAGAAATTCCACTCAGCTAATTGTTTCTGTTGTCCGCGGAATTTTTCTTACATTTTAATTATTTATTATGATTGAAAAAAGAGAGTAGATTTTACTAAAATGACTTAAATATTTTTAATATAAGTAATAAATCATTTTTTTGGGTGTGTTTGATAGATATTATTGAGGAAAAAAATATATTTTAAACATTGATATGATGAGAAATACGTGGTTAAAAAGTAAAGAAAAGTTATTGATATGATGAAAAATATTATTTTATTTAAAAATGTGTGATTGAAAAGAATGTGTGTCAAATAGGGGTTTCATTTTTAAACTAGTCATAATCGACTCAATTTAAGACTTGAGAGTTTATTTCGAGGATGGAAGAGTTAAATGTTATAAAATCGAGAAGAGCAAAGTACGACAAAAGAAGTTTGGGGGACAAGATATACATTTTCGATCCTTTGAAATTAGACACTAATACATCTTTAATTGCTTTCAAGTCCTCTTCTTGGTTGTCACTGTTCCACCCAAATCAAGGAGGGTTGGAGCAAACAGGGACAAATTGGTATTGAATAGTAGAGGTTGACAGGCTAGAATGCATGTCAGATGGGAGGTGGTCGATGTAGGGAGACACGGGCACACGGAGACACTCTGTGGTGCACGGAGACATGGGTCTCCGTCTCCTTGCGTACACGGAGACAACTTCGTGTCTCCATATTGTGTCTCTGATTTTATTTTTTTATTATTATTTTTTAACACATCAACTGTAACCCTAAACTAATTAAATATGAAGCTTTCTGATTTTAAGATAACTAAAAGCAAAAAAAATTAAATTCCTAAAAATATAGAGCTATAAAAAAAAAAAAAACTTTTTTAACTCAGACCAACAAAGGTAGAGGCATCAATTCCACCGACTATAACTATCAATCAAACCAAACATGATTTTTTTTTTCTTTTTTTGGAATCTTTAGAAGGAAGAAATCAAAACGTTCACTTTCGTGCGATCTACCAATTACATTTTCATAAACATACATTACACCCAAATAAAATCAAATNTAACTTCTTTACACACACATTGTATGCAAGAATTTATTTTTTTAGATATCAAACACAAGAAACAATTTTATTAATTCCCAAATCATAAAAAATCTCATAATCAATTCAAACTTTGGACTCAATTATATATTCACCCATAGAAGAAAAAACAAAAAAAGTACCTCGGGTTCTTGATCAGGCGTTTGAGATGATGGGGAGTCTCTGAAACTCTATCTTTTATTGCACTCAATCAAAATACAGTGTATGTGTGTGTGTGTATTAAGCACATATTGTACCGATTAATGGTGTATGTTGTTTGAAATTGCTCATAACATTTTCAAGTAAAAAAGATT